ACCTTCAAGTGTCTAGTTTATTCTCCCGGAGTTTCAACCTCTTCCGATTAATAGCGGCCGCGCAAGTGGTTATTAAAATGTGTCAGGTTTTTCTGCCCAACCCTGTACTTGTATATATATATATATATATATATATATACATATATATATATTTTTTTTTATGTATTATGTATGTGTAGTATCCATGATTACCTAATAAAATTGTACTTTAATTGTATTTTATACTCTGTTTAGGCTCTGAAAACATCAATGGGATATTTATCTGCATTACTAACAATAAAAGATTAGAGAAAATGATACTGATGGGATGGAACAAGTTAATTTCATCACTACAATATCAATTTTTTAATATGAAATATACAGGTTTATATACATTGCCTGTAACATCACTCTCGAAAAATACACATTTTTATGCAGCATGTCAAACTATTATTCGACTATTAGTCGAAGAATTTATTTGCCTTCATTTAACCCTTTCAAGCACGGTGGCATTGTGAAATGCCACCTTTTTCATAACGTCCATTTTCTTAATAATTAGGGTTTATTATATTAGTTTTCACTCAATTTTCAAACTAATTTTTGTGTTTCAGTATTAGTTATACATTCAAGAATAAGAATCGATGTGAAATAATTCGAACTCATGAGTGATTTTGTTTATACAAATAAACAAACGTTGAAAAATAGCAATTTTTCTGGAGAAAATTTATTATCTCGAAAAGTTTTCAGGGTTTCCGCGCAAAGATCTTCCTTCAAAGGTCTTTGGGGTCGCTGATTACGAATCCGTGGCCAGATTTCTAAAATTCAAAATGACGGATCCAATATGGCAAACCCAAATTCGAAAAACGATGCAAATTTTATAAAAATGTACATCTGGGAGATCTCGGAGTCGCTGATTACGAATCCTTGACCAGATTTCTAAAATTCAAAATGGCGAATCCAATATGGCGGACTCGAATTTAAAAAATAATGCAAATTTTATGAAAACGTATATCTGGGGATTCAGCGATTTTATACTCGATCAGCACTGTTTTTTCGATTATAATCGACATATTGAATCTTGAATTTCGGGAATCTGATTACAGATTCGTAATCAGCGACCCCGAGAACCCCCAGATATACATTTTTATAAAATTTGCATTGTTTTTCGAAGTCGGATCCGCCATCTTGAATTTCGGAAATTTGATTACCGATTCGTAATCAGCGGCTCCGAGAACTTTCAGATATACATTTTCATAAAATTTGCATCGTTTTTCGAATTCGGGTCAGCTATATTGTATCCGCCATCTTGAATTTCAGAAATCTGATTACGGATTTGTAATCAGCAACTCCGAGAATCCCCAGATATACATTTTTATAAAATTTGCATTGTTTTTCGAATTCGGATTCGCCATATTAAATCCGCCATTTTAAATTTCTAAATTTTGACCTCAGATTCGTAATCAGCAACCTCGAAAACTCTCGAGTACCAATTTTCGAGTCAATCGTAGATAAGAAAAAATGTATGCTTGAAAGAGTTAAAGGATAAAAATCATCAATTTTATTATACTGCTTTCTTTTTAGATTTAAAAAAAGACTGAAACAAATTGTGAGATAACATCAGAAACCTAATTTTGCCGCTAATCAATAAGTAAATCTTATTATTCATTATCCAACTGTAGTACGTTGTTTAACATTTTAATTAATTTCACGCGTTTATAAAATTTCTCTTAAAAAACAGAATAAACGGCCAAAAGCGTATTTTAAAAATCATATTGAATGTTTTGACGCTTCCAATATTGAATGACAAAAGTGAGGAAGCAATGTTTGTGATTAAAAAAAATCAAACACGAATGAACTATTTGATATTTGTTGGTTCTTTCATACCTATATCCTGCTGATCGACATGTAACTTTTTCCTACAGTGGATATGTAAAAAATGAAAATTTTTATCATTGAATTTAATAGAAAAATTTTTTATACAAATAAAAAAAGCGCAACATACGGCTGAGACTAGATGTTGGTACTTAATAATTATTAATTTTTATTTTAAAAATTTCATTTTTAATAAACTATACTTCTCCTTATTAATATTGGTTATTGGATAAATATTACCATATTAGCCTCAGTGATCGAACAGGTAAGACAGTACCCTGGATAGGATCGAGAGGTTTCAGGTTAATGGTCCCTGACTGAAGTAATATTTTTCGCAATAAGTTCTTTATAGTATTTTAAAATACTTATTGTATCATTATCGAATTGAAACATCAATTTAATATTTAATATTATTTCAGCATAAGTTATGATTGTGTTCTTAAAAGTACGAAAATATGAAAGATAAAAATGTTTTATCTTTCACATTTCCGTTCTAGGGAAAAAGTTACATAATCGTATTCTAACGTTAGTAGTCTTTAGCTTGTTCTAAATATTGAGAATAAGTTAAATCTCGTTCTAAATCTCGGAAAGAAATCTCGAAAATTTAGAAAGTCGTTTACATCTAATCAATCTTCTCATAGGATATACAAGAAGAATCCTATTAAATTACAGTATGTACATACAGTATGTACAGTTTGATTAACCCCATAGATGTTAATTTTTCTTTTTCAGATCTTAAAAATATTTGTCAATTATACAATGTTTATCAATTATACATATTTATATTTGTATATTGGCAATCAAATAAGCAACTAAATGAGGAACAAGAATGTATAATTTACAGATCTAATGAATCATCTTATTATGTATATCGTTGTCGTTGTCATGTAAAATTTATATTTTCAAAATATATAAATTTTATTAATATGCATCTGTGTTAACAGATATTAACATTGAATATTGTTAATTTTAAATTGTATACTAAAAATGTACAAAATTTTTAGTATATTCATTTAAGTTATTTATTCCTTTTTTCACAAATGAATATTTTTTTAAAAGAAAAAGAAAATAAATTTTTGTAGCAATGTTTATAACATACAAAATGTCGTCATTTACATCCCTTATTTGTGCGTTGACATAATACATATTATACATATATAATGTCAAAAAATATACTTAATATTATTTTTAACATCAATTGATTATAGTTGAAGCACTGACCATGAGAGCCTTGTATGTTCATCATCACTATTTGCTTGCAAACTTCTTCGACAGAGGGAACCTAATTCGCATTGCAAGTGAATAGCTTGTTCTCAATATTAAATATACTAATGTACTATACATATGTATATACTATTTTTAAAATTGTAATTAATATTATTATTTTCAGTGATCGCAAAAAATATAAACAAATGTAAATAGTTAAAAAATTTCAAATACAAATATGAATACTTTTCATAAAATAATTTGACTTTCTAAAATTTATTTATTTATTTATTTAAATGTAATACAAAAATAATAAGTTCATTATTACTTGTTTTATTGACACCATTATCTTACAGTAGTGTTTAAAATAAGAAAACTTTTGTATATTAGAGGAATTGTGTATAAAAAATATTTAAATATATTAATAATAATGTTTCAAGCTTTCTGATTTAATAGTAAATAAGATTTAATTATATCAATAATTTATTGTCGCTAATATATAAATAAAATTTAATTTTAATCAATAACAATAATATACTGCCATACATAGCTTGCTTTCTATAGTATGTACATACATATAATATTCTCGAAGAGCATGCGTCGTTAAGACTCGCGTGTGCTGAAAAAGATAGGGTCCTTTCAGTTACTTTGACGTCGTTGTCGTGTAAACCTCAATGAGATGTCGATCGAGGTCGGTTTAGATTTGTCTAAGTTCTTTGAGTATAAGTACCTCTACTTTTAAAATATTTAATGCTTAAGTAGTTCGTGAAATGAGTAAAAATATCATAGTTTTGTAATCTTTTAAGTTTATTTAGTCATTGGATAACGTTTATCTTAAAAAATTATTTATTACTTATTGCTTGTCATTTTTATTCGCTAGTTTTTTGCTTTATTTAATATGCGAGTTAATTCATTTCTAATACGTCAACCTTTTTTCTTTTTAACAATAATGTTATCAAAATGTGATAAAAAAAAGCATTTTATAAAATATCACACAATTGCGGAAAGAGGAAAGAAATTTATTCTCGCCAACTTTGTCTAAAAAGGCAGATTTGGAGTATGCGTACGGGTGGAATCGTTATACAATGCCATTTATGGGAATTTGGCCAGAAGATAGAAGTCTCAGTCAAGCTTCGAGTTATCTAGTGATAGTTCCCGTTCTAATGATGTTTTGCTTCTGTTGTGGACCGATATTGGCCAATTTGCCGTTCGTTTTGGACGACTTTGACGCGGTGGTAGAAAACTTATCCGCAAACATAACAATGTTGATCTCGATGTTGAAGACCATTATATTTTGGTCTAACGGTGGACGTAAATATATCAATTTTCATGACAAAAATATTAGTCTCATTTTTTTATCGATCTATTAAGCTAATAATAATAGTTCAATGCCTTAAATCACAAACAGTAAGATCGCAAAAATATGGAGTATTTTTATAAATTTTTTTAATTTTTAAAACAATTAGTGTTTTTTTTACAATTTACAGCTGTAATTTCCCAATAAATATACTAGAATGTAATCATTAAAATATTTACAAAATGTACTCATTCTTTTAATAAATGTACTTCTTCTAATAAATTGTGAGTAATAATTCGTTTAAATTATTATAAATATACTTTGTATTTGTAATAAGAGTATATTTTGTACATTTCTAGTTCTAAAGTAATTTTATTATAAATTTTATAATAATATAAAAGACAAATAATATAAAAGAAATTTTATAATAATATAAAACGTGACTAATAAAATTATTTAAGGAAAGAAGTTATGTCAAGATATAGCGAAATCAGTGTTATAATACATACTTATATATTATAACACTGAAATTGCTTTAGAGCTAGTAGAATTAGTCGTATACTTACTTATTATAACAATAAAATTATTTTAGAACTATAGAGGTGCACGAGATACGCTTTCATTAAAAATACGAAGCACGTTTATGATAGTTTAAAATATACTCACAATTTATTAGAAGTACTCTCTAAATTTTCTGGAGTAAATCTCACTTCAAAAGATTGAAAATACTGCCACTCGGCCACTTGAGTGGCAGTATTTTCACTCTTTTGGAGTGAATTTCACTCCAAAAGAGTGAAAATTCACTCCAGAAAATTTAGAGAGTACAATTTATTTTTAGATTTAATGCTCTTTTTAAACCTCTAGTATTTTAAATCTCTTCAACATTTTATAAAAGCCATGAAGACACTCGTATCATACATGACGAGAGATTGGAACGTGACCACGGATGAACAAGACCGTAGAACGATGTTGGGCATAGCGGACATCACAAGAAAGCTGTCGATAAGAAGCACTATGTTTGCTCAAAGCATAGTGATGATTTACATGATGTTTCGACTCTTCGAAATTCGACAAAACGGTCGCCAGCTGTTCTATCAATCGTACTTTCCTTACAACGCGACCAGCAGCCCCTCTTACGAATTGACTCTTTTCGGTCAATTCGTGGGCGCTATGTATTCGGCAGTTACATACGCAGCAATAGATACTTTCATTGCCACTTTAGTACTTCATATATGTGGTCAGCTGTCGAACCTACGCCGCGAACTGACAAATCTGTGCGTCCACACAAGAGCGGAATTCCAGATGAAGTTGGGAAATATCGTGAGGAAGCATGAATATCTCAGCAGGTGAGATTGGCCAAGTGAGAAGCAACGCAGAAGGATCAAAATAAAGGATTGTCGCGCGATAAGGGATTACTCGAAATTTTCGGTTAAAATTATCTCATTTTTTATATTCCGTTTCAGCAAGCACGCGATAATATTAAGTTATTTCAAGAGATTTTAAAGTGCTACAATGATATAAATTATTGTGAATGTATAATAAAATATAAAATGTGTAAATGTATAAATTGAAAATATGTAATAAAGGAGTTCATACAGTTTAGGCGATTTGGGAAGCATGTAGGGATTGTTGGATTTTTCTTTTTTTATTCAATTTTGCTTGCTGAGTCCGAAAATCATATAGTTAAAATAATCTTAATTCGGGAAATATAATTTTGGGATATATTTTGCTAAAAAAAAGTAATGGTTTTATCATTTTATCGAGCCATGTCTGCGAATTTCTCTTTGTTTGTACGAAAATATGTTTCGATGTTATTTAAGCCCTAATCCTTTCTCATCAGAGTTTGAGAACCTGAAACAAGTTACCTTAAAAGTTATGTATTCAATTTAACATTTGCATTAAAATATTTCAAAAAGTATTAATAAAAAATGCCGAAAAATGTTTTGGATATAAGTTGTACGGTCTGAATGGAATAAATAATGGTAAAAATACTAAAAATAACTTAAAAAAAATGAATTTTTTAATGTCATATAAAAAGTGTCGCCATATGAAATTATATGAAATTATGTAATTTTTTAACGAAGTATGATTTCTTTAATTATTCTGCATATAAAAATATTGAAATAAAGCTAACAAAAATTTAATAGTTTATGAGATATTTTATACTTTGTCATGCCACATTTCGACATAAAGTATGAAATACCTTATAAACTATTAATTTTTTTATAATTGTACCTTAAATAAAAAAATATTCAGTTGTTTTTAAATAAATATATGCAATTTGTAATATACCGCATATTTTTTTAAAGGCAACTAAGTGTTTTCTTTGCGGATTCTTAAGTCCTGATGAGAAATAAGGGCTTAGATAACATCGGAAAATATTCTTATAAAAACAAAGAGAAATTTATAGAAATTGCTCGATAAAATGATAAAATCAACCATTTCTTCTATTAAAATATATCCCAAAATTATATTTCCTTAATACCAAGCTATTTTAACTATAATTTTCGGATTCAGCAAGTAAAATTGAGTAAAAAAAGATGAATCCAACAATTTCTGTGTGCGCTTCTCGCACTCAAATCGCCTAAAATGCACGAATTCCTTTAAATGTATAAATTGAAAACACAAACGTGATGTACAGATAGAATTTTATCTGCAAAACACGCTTATCTTGACAATGGCATTTTTCATAAGATTTGCAGAAACGATCGAAGATTGTTTCAACATGATGCTTCTGATACAGATGCTCGGATGCTCGTTGCAACTTTGTTTCCAGTGTTTGCAGACATTCATGGTGAGCCACAAAGAAAGGAGGGATGAAATCCCGTTGAAATAAAAAAAAAAGAAGAAGATAAACCGATCTGCTGTTATGATTCCTCCTTTTATAGTCAATAATGGACGAAATAGTAATAGACGAAGTATTCTTCTTAAAATTCTGTTTCTTGTTGATCTACGTGACTTACATATTGCTGCAATTGTACCTGTACTGTTACATCGGCGAGAAACTATTTGTCGAGGTAATACAAACATTGGTAATTTATTGATTGATATATTGATGTATAAATCCCGATATTTTGATATCACATCGCTAAAACTATGTATATCTTGAATCATATTTCCAAGAACTAGTTGATTAAATTTTCAGACAAACATTGAGATAACCTATTGATTAATTTATTGATTAATTTATTAGCACGCGTAAATCTCAATATATGTTTTGATATATCGATATGCTGCCGAAACTACGTATATTTTGGATCATATTTCTAAGAACAAAATTAAATTTTTATGCAAATATAAACACTGGTAATTTATTGATTAATTTATTGATTTAAATCTTCTGATATTTTAATATATCAATACAAATATAAACACTGGTAATTTATTGATTAATTTATTGATTTAAATCTTCTGATATTTCAATATATCAATATATAATATTGCCAAAATTATATATATCCTTGAATTATATATCCAAGAACAAGATTAAAGGAGTTCATGCATTTCAGGCGATTTAGGAAACGCGCGGGAAACGTTGGGTTCACCTTTTTTCTTATTCAATTTCACTTGCTGAATCCGAAAATCATAGTTAAAGTTGTTCTAGTATCGGGGAAATATTTTTTTTTCACATTTTAAACAGAAAAAAGCAATAGTTGATTTTATTAATTTGTTGAACCATGTTTGCAAATTTCTCTTTGTTTTATAAAAATTATAAATTATAAAAAAATTAATAGTTTATAAGGTTTCCATACTTTATGTCAAAATGTGGCATGACAAAGTGTAAAATATCTCATAAACTATTAAATTTTCGTTAGCTTTACTTCAATACTTTTATATGCAGAATAATTAAAGAAATCATACTTCGTCAAAAATGTATGTTTTGATGTTATCTAAGACATCATTTTTTCTCATCAGGGCTTGAAAATCTGTAAATTACCTTAAGTTAGTATACATTTTAACCTTTGCATCGAAATATCTCGAAAAGTATAAAAAATGCGGAAAAATGTTTCAAGTAAAAGTTATACAATCTAAATCTACAATAAACGAATGATAAAATAATTTTCGAAAAAAATCAATTTTTCAAGATCATATAAAGATATTTTATATTTTATGTTGAAATATATATGGCATAATAAAATATAAAATGTCTCGTAAATTTATTTATTTTCGACAGTTTTAATACTTTTATATGCAGAATAATAAAAAGAATCATACTATGTAAAAAAATTATATAAAGGCCCATCTACATAAGTTGCAAACGCAAAACGCAAACGCAAACGCAAACGCGGACGTTTCTCTCTTTCTTTTCTGTTTCTTGACGTTTCTTTCTTTTTTTCCGCGTTTGCGTTTGCGTTGTGCGTTTGCGACTTATGTAGATGGGGCTTAATTCCATATAAAAAAATGATGGTACTCTTTATATGACCTTGAAAAATTGACTTTTTTTGAAAATTATTTTTACCATTATTTTTCTCCCTTCAGACCGTATAACTTTTATCTGAAACAATGTACGCATCTTGTTATTTTTCGATATATTTCGATACAAAAGTTAAAATATATACATAACTTAGGTGATTTACAGATTCTCACGTCCTGAGGAAAAAAAAAAAGAGTTTAGGTAACATTGAAACATATTTTTATTAAAACAAAAAGAAATTTGCAGACATAGTTCAACAAGTAATAAAATCAACCGTAGCTTATTTCTGTTTAAAATGTAAAAAAAATATATTTCCCGGATACTATGACAACTTTAACTATAATTTTTGGATTCAGCAAGTGAAATTGAGTAAGAAAAAAGATGAACCCAATGTTTCCGAATTGTCTAAAATGCATAAACCTCCTTTTAAACAAATATGAACTGCACTGGTAATTTATTGATTAATTTATTGACGTAAATCCCGATATATATTTTGATGTATAGATATATTGCCGCTACTACATATATTTTAGATCATATAATTTCTAAGAACAAAACTCAATTTTCAGATAAAAATATGAACACATTGATATAATTTATTAATTAATTTTTTGACATAAATTTCGATATATATTTCCCGATATATCGATACATTATCGAAATTACGTTTCGACTTTTTGGATTATAACAATAATTTGGATTTCTAACAAAATTCAACTTTTAGATAAATATGAACACTGGTAACTTATTGATTAATTTATTGATGTAAATCCTTTGATATTTTGATATATCAATATCATATTTCCAAAACTGTATATTTCTTAACCACATTTTTAAAAACAATAAGATTATTAAATTTTCAGACAAATATAAGATCTATTTTATATCGATCAATAATATTGTTATATCTCGATCAATCACTAAAATATATTAGATCAATCGGCCAAAATTAAATATTAGAATATTCTCTAGTGCTGAGCACTATTCTAGAAAGCGATCTTATTTGCTTTGTTACGATGATAATTATACTTCAGAATAATGTAGTCATTAACTGCAGTACACGCTTTCGTGTTAAAGCAATTCGCATGACGCCTTGAGCGTTAATAAGCGAGACGGAAACCACGTTTTTTTTCTTGTTACTGAAAATTGTGAACAAATATTTTTTTCTTTAATATGATAATTACTTGATTATTTCTTTTCAAATATACAAAAAATTACTCATTTACAAAGATGTGTAAATCAATTAATCAGTTATATAATTGTTTAGTTGATATCCACTAATATTATTCCCAAAAAATATATAAATGTGATACTTTGTGGTCTTAAGATCTCATAAAACCTTTTTATTTATCATTTTAACACATTTCAGTTTATGCACATAGTATAAAGAAAATTAAACACTATGCATTGTCCAATAAATTAGAGAGATCTTAATAATAAGGATCCTAACGTCCAATGTGTAAAGAAAAAAAACATTGCTCATAAAGAAAATTAATAAGCGGGATTTTTGGATTTATGGATAAGGCTTCATATTTAGGATTGTGGTTTCATATTTAGCGCCATCATATCCTCATTTTGCCGTTAGTCACGATTTTATGACTCATGTTTCCCTTGGAATCCTTTGAATCTGACATTCCAGAGCACGAAAATAGCATATGCGGCATATGACTGCAGTTGGTACAACTTGCCAGCGAGCGAAGTGAGATCGCTAATGATCATCATATGTCGAGCTCGACTGCCATTATACATCAGCGCCGGCCGATTCTGTTCTTTCAACCAGGAGCTCTTTGGCGAGGTATGAAATTATAGAATTTCACAATCAAATCGATTCAATCGAATCAATTTGCTTCTTTTCCTCTTTAAATCAATAGATTGGATCGATAAATTTAATTTTAGATTTACATATTAGAAATATATTATATATTTCATCAATATATTATATATTCAATTATTTTAATTTTATATTTATATAGTATTCTTTTTCTAAATATAAACGCACTGCATCTTTAATTTGTATTACAAGAAATTTGAACTATTATATTCTGATATTGTGAAAAATAGTATTTCACGCTTAATACTTTTTTTATAATAAAAAAGTATACAATATATTGATCGCAAAGTTAAGTGTTAATTTGAATTTTGATATCGATTTAAATTTGAAGCATGCAAGATCGATATCGATTTTTAGGTTCTGAAGAGATCAGTGGCTTACATGTCGTGTTTCTACGCAATAAATAGTTTTGAGTGAAAACAAAAACGATTCATAAGTGACAAGTCTGTTAATTGTTTAATGAAATTATATGATTTATGATAAAGAGGATGTATATTTTCGAGACATATGTAAAATGCTCTAATAAAATAATGCTAAGTAAACTATTAATTATAATCAATATAATGATAACGCAATTTAGAAAATCTTTTACATTATATAATACATAAAAATAAAAAAATATTAAAAATTTGTAAACAAGATTTGATAAAAATATAAATTTTTAAAGTCGGTATATCGAATTTTTTATTAAAATATTATTTTTGCTACTAATAATCAAGAGTCAATATATAAATAACATTTGTTAACAATAATATATTGCAATAGCTCTAACATTCCAAAAACAAGAATAATAGACAAACAGGCAGTAGATACGTAAATATATGACAGAGAATATTATAAATTGTTTGTAAAATTCTTACAAAGAATCATGGATAAAAAATTTAAATATGTTTATGGATGTTAAAGTGTTAATGTTATCTTATTCAATCATATATTATTGCTTATACACAAATATATCATTGCATTATATTTGTGCTTTGCGGTTCGCAAAGTTAACTTGACTTTTCATTCTATTCTGGTAGGGCATAAATCTATCGAGCGATCAAAGCAATATTATCTCGCATTAAAGCGTGTCATTGCACGTAAAAAAGGAAGCATTTCCTCAAGGCGCAATATGCAAATTCTGCAACTTCTGCACGTGCGCAGAGACGATCGCGATGAATAAGAGATGTAGGAAGGCGCATTATATGGAAAAGACGAGGGATGAGGGGACGCGACGTGACGAAACGAAAATAGCAGGGCACAGCGGCGACTATTAATGAGGCTTCTCGCAGGAGCCGGGGTCTCACATTAAGTATGCAACGGAAAACTCGAGGGAAAACAGTTTCCTCATTTTTTTCGCCGGCTTGTTTTTCCGTCCCGACTGTCCGTCTCGACCGGGTGCATATTTGAGCAACTTGATCCACCACGAATGAATTGCTCGCGCAAAATGCCCACCACCGATGCATATTTGATGAAAGAGTCTATAGACCCTGTGATTACGCGCGACAGTTTCACGTTACCAAGTTCGCAAACTACTCTGTCTACGATGGATAAGATGGTGGGGGCGTTTCGAGAATATAACGAAACGGTGCTCTGATATACGAAACCTCGCGAATTCTACTGTCGCGAATGTTCGATCGATAATTCGCAGTTTCGACGTGCACGATCCTCGGGGTTGATCGCTTCATCGCTCCTGCTCACCGTTTTACATCACCGAAAAGAATTTCGCGGAGAAATATATGAAAACTTGTGAGCGGCGCTTCTCACTTTCTCTCTTAATATTTTTAACAAATATTTCGACGTTTTTACTGTGATAATTCAAGCGATTTTCGCGATAACAGTGACGTTTCGCGAGAGAACGCTGTAAAATACATTGTCGCGGAACGGCGCGAGCTTTCGCTCCGAGGGACAAATGCGTTCGATTGCCCGAGAGGTTGACGGTGTCAATAACATTCTGAAATGCAACAAAGGAATTCCATCGTAACAATCAATCGCTCGAACGAATTCGCATGAGTGCATCGTTTAATTCCATCCGTCGGACGTTTTATTCGGGTAAAAGTTTGCGTAAAGTGATGTGTGCTTTCACCGCTTATTTCCGTCAACCTGCGAGGAAAGTGCGCGCGGAGAGTACCTCGGAGCGGAGAGCTGGAGAGCGACTAATGAGTGTCATTAACGATTGCGTGGTCTACCGTCACAATGGAGAAAATCAGAAGATGACAGTTACTAACTTCGAGTGCAGATGGACGCGGATAAAACAACTTCACGCTTTGCCGCGAGAGCAATGCGCGCGTCCAATATATAAGTACGCCGCCACGCAGATCGCGACGTTACTTCGACTTTAAACGTTCGAGTTAAAAGTATAGTTTAAAATATATATCGTTAATATTTTGTATTATTATTTCGACTTCAACGACGAAGCACATATCTCGAGGATTCGAGGTATCAATACAAGATATAACAAACCTCAGATATCGCAAGAGAACGAAGAAATTCTATTCACTTCTCCGCAATAAATCGAAAATGATATTCGCAATTTAAGCGATTGTTGAGATTTACGATCTTCTGTTGAAAACGTCTTGTTGAGTACAACGTATTGTCGAGGAAGATGATAGTTAACGCAAAAGTGTTTGTGTTGGTCGCATTGGTAATCTACAGCGTTTGCGCTCATACTGTCGACATTCGAGAACCTTACAAAAGAACTAATGATCAAAAATATACCGGGTCCATGTTGGCTGAGATCGCAAAGGAATTCGTGCAAAGATCGACTACCGGTAGTCAGGTAATAAAAATTGTATATCATTATACCATAAGAAATTCTGAAATTATGCTCATTTTTCTTAACAATTGAATGCTGAATAACAAACGGAGAATAATGTTTCTTCAATAATAGTGTCAATACTGTTTGAAATAATTAATTAGTTAAACAAGTTAAACTAAAGTACAGAAATATAATTGATAAAATTGTGTATTCCGTGAATGACCTAAGATAAATTTTATTTGCATGTAATTTACTTCAAAATAAAACTGTATCTCACGAGAACATTTAACGCTAAATGTTGTACTTAGAATTAAACTAAAAGATAATTGCAATGTTACAGGTGCTGAATTTAAATCTCTCGAATTTACTGCTACTTTTAGTACTTAAAGCAGTTGTGTTCGGCGTCAGCTATATAGGACAGCACGGTTACAAAGCACGCGAATTAGTACATGATGGTAATTTCAAAATAAAACCATTAATAAAACCGTTAATATTCGTTTAAATACGCTTTTTGTCTATATGATGATAATTGCATTAACAGTACATTGCATACACATGACTACATTGCACAAAATAACAACATCCCACCGCGCTTTAGAAGCTCGGTAAATATACGCAGTAAAAAAAATAAAAAATTACAAAGATCAATAATAACTTTTTTTTTAATTTATAATCGTCTCTATTGATTTCAGAGGATATCGTGTCGGAGGGTGAGCTTGCATTAGCGCTTGGATATCTGATCGGCGATACTTGTTTGTATAGGGCAGCTTGCGAAGAGCCACACGTTGCGAGAGAGTATCTCGGCGCGGCAGAAATGCTCTTGCAAACAATGAAGTTGGTGCCACAGTACGTATAAAAAATATTAAAGAAAAATTGCAAAAAAATATAAATTGAACACAATGCTTACTATCATCATTGAGAAACATAAGAAACGCTGGAGCACCTCTTAAATCAGAAGTTGCATGGCATTTGGGTTATTCAGATTTATATTTATATTCAGAGTTAACTTTCTTTTCTTTCGTTCCTCTTATTCTCAAATGTGATTAATACGAGAACAATTCTACCTTCATCGAAATTAAATTGACGGAGTAATACCTCTGAATGATCAAATAATTATGATTTGATATGTATTTTAAAATAAAGGTTATTTTGAAGAAGAGATATTCATAGAAAGTTAAAACAACGTTGCTGCGAAAATGAAATAGCCAATATATTCTCATGTAAAATGCATTTTTGTAGAAGCTTACCTGCGGAGCCCAGCTACGAGAAGACGATCACAGAATTCCGGAAGGCGATTGAGTACGGCAACATCGAGCAATGTCCGCCGGAGTACAGCTGCAAAAGAGAGAACATAAATAATTTCTTGCAAAATGAAAAACGATAATATTGGATTTATCAAATATTTTGTAATTCTCTCTCATTTTTTTTAGCATTAAGCTATAAAAATAGCACAAAAGGATAATATTTTATAAACATACACGTACAGTATATCTTTTAGAATTATTAATTTTTCGCAGAAATTATTTCATTTTATTACTATAATTAAAGTAACTATTCGATAACGGGATAACTTGCAACAAATGAAAAAAAATAGATGTTATGAATTAATTAATATTATCTAATTATATTAATATCATTATTAATAAAAAAAATTATATTTTTTTATTACCTCGTGTTTGTATAGAAAGTATGAAATCCAAAAAATTATATAATCTACGTTTTAATCGTTATTATCAAACATATAAAAATATTTTGTTTCTTAAATAATAACGTGTTAAAAAATCTTTTAATTTTACAATTATTATAATTATTATTATGTGCTATAAATGTATATCTCTTATTTTTATAACGTCACTGAATTAAATATTTTAATAAAAGTAATGAAATTGAATAATTTCATGATTACATTTAAATGTTCTCCATAATTAACAATGTAGAGAATATACTTAATTCAATATGATTAGCTTGAAAATGACTTGTAATAATTGCATATAAGAATATAAATTTATTGTTTAATGTATCACATAACTACATATAATACTTATATATACGTATATACAATAATACAGATACAAAATTTTGATAAGTAATATACCCTGCATCAGCATCATAAATATAATTGTCATAACAATACGTTGTTGTTATAACAATACGTAACATATACGTATTACATGTATGATATATGGCTTTGCGCTTTGCCGGATGTATTGTTATATATAAACACATATTAATTGTCATAAAAGAATTTATCATAAGTTTTAAAAAACTGTCAAAAATTTTCTCGAATTTCGCAAGGAATAAGGAAATGTAACGTCGTTACCCATTCGTTACTGAAAAAAAGTAATTGTAACGGTAACGACGTTACAATTAACGCATTACTTGCCAACCCTACTAACTTAGGGACCCTACACCTCAAAAAAATTGTAACTTATAAGTTATACAAAAAATAAGTTACATACAAAAGTTGCATGTCTTTTTTTTACAATTAATTTATTTTATTATTTTGTGCTTAAAAATATTAAATACGTTTATCAAAAAATTAGTAATTTACGAAATATTTTATATCTCACGTCAAAATGTGCTAAAATAAATATAAATTATTTTCGTAAATTAAATTCGTGAATTTCTGATTTTTCCATATCTTTGTCTTAATACTTTTACATATGCAGAATAATTAGAGGAATTATATTACGTAAAATAATTAATCATATAATTCCATTTAAAAATATAAAGTTAACTTTAAAATTTTTTAAACGTTTCTATTTATAAAAAAAATGTGTACACTATAATATAATGATCCCCGGCTTCGAAGTCATGCAACTTTTGTATGTAACAATTTTTCTTAATTATAATTTATAAGTTTTTCGAGGTGTACAAATTAAGTGCTTCACCCTGTATATTTATATAATATATAATAATAATGCACATGTTTGTAATAAAAATGTTATTTCTCTCTCTTTCGCTCTCTCGCTGTATTAATTCGGACTTTTAACTTATACTCAAAAATGTATGAACCACAATTTTTGAGACTCAAATATTCTCTTAATTCGAACAACTTCAATAATTTCAATTTAGATAAATTGAATCAGGAGACACGGTCGTGGCTCGACGCTAAAAAAGATGCGTCGGACTGTTTCTTTACGCGAGCCGGCGAGTTGCGAGCACCCGAGATTATGGTAACAACAGCTGAGCGGATCAATTTCTAAGTAGGCTCAATTTGTAATTGACGCAAACACAGAAAAAATAGGATTTCATTTTTATAGCGCTAATGAACGGAGTTGCGTTATAATTCTAAAGCAGTAGCTTTAGATCCTCGTCTTTGAAAAACAGATAGCGATGATAAAAAAATTGCAAATAGACTTGATCAATATATGATAATATATATGTAATAAGAGTATAATAAGACTAATAAGAATACACAAATCTTAATATATCATGGACCAAAACAAAAATGGACTTGACGAAGGATCTCACTTACCACGCCATTTACGCAAGTAAAGTGATTTGTATTTCTATACATTGAAAGTTTTGATAAATTTTAGTGAAAGCAGATGCGTGCGTCTCTTTCATTGTTGCGCCGAGCGCCACGTACATACGTCACGAGCGTCACGTTTGCTTGCAATTTGCGCCGCCGAGCGGCACTGGGAGCGCGCTGCCTAACCTATCCTGACAGTCGCGGTGACCGCCGCAGATACTGGTAGATGCTGACTTGTTTGATTTTCGCCTGGTCACGTCGCGTCAGACGCATAAACAATTTTTCGTATTTCGGCTGCTAACGTCGTTTCTTGCAGAATTTCTCTGAAAGATGAGCTCTATAGGCACAGGGGTGAGTATGCCGCACGTTGCTCCATATACGATTGCAAGATGTGGCATTGTACGATTGACATTCGAGATCCTAACCTCATTTTCGTTCCAGTACGACCTGTCCGCATCGCAATTTTCGCCGGACGGACGTGTATTTCAAGTGGAATACGCGCAGAAAGCCGTGGAAAATGGAGGGTGAGTTCCGCTCGTCTTGTCCCTTGTGCACTATTACGTAAATATCGATCGAAGCGGTACTCGCGCACATTAGTGTTACAGTGGCGATCAATGTGACATAGAATATCTCTATAAGTTATGGCTACGGTCCATCTGATGCTACAAATGCTTTGAAGTATTCTTTGATTAATCAATTAATAAAACTCTTCCTTCTGATTGATCAGTCAAATGCTCCAAAGCATTTGTAGCGTTAAGTGGAACTTGCGTGAAGGCTGGTTCTATAATAGCGTCGTATGTCGGGTCGTAAACCGCGAGTCGTAAGAATTGAACAATCACAGTCGTACATTCGCTGTAATTGGTCAATTCTTATGACTTACGACACCGATATATGACGTAGAACAAACTTAAATGAGGATACACGCACGTATGATGTCTACGCTTCATTTATGTATGCGATTACATTTTGCTGCAGGACAGTTATTGGCTTGCGAGGGAAGGATGGCGTGGGATTTGCCATCGAAAAGATAGTAACGTCGAAGCTCTACGAGCCGGGTGCTAATAAACGAATATTCAACATAGATCAGCACGTTGGTATGGCAGTCTCCGGTATAATATCGGACGCAAGACAGATCGCGGAGACCGCAAGATCGGAGGCTGCCAGCTACAAGGCACAGTACGGAGTCGGTATTCCACTGAAGTATTTGAACGAAAGAGTCTCCATGTATATGCACGCATATACCTTGTATTCTGCCGTACGTCCATACGGTTGCTCCGTCCTGCTCGGTGCTTATGAGACAGACGGTCCAGCGTTGTTTATGATCGACCCATCAGGAGTATCGTATGGCTATTATGGCTGTGCAGTAGGTAAGCGACACATGTCTGTAGTAAGAAGAATTGGAACGCGCAGACAGAAATTCATACTCTGTTATCCATATTGTTCTAGGTAAAGCGAAACAGTCGGCAAAGACGGAAATTGAAAAATTGAAATTATCAGAGATGACGTGTAAAGATTTGGTTAAGGAAGCTGCTCGTATTATCTACCTTGTCCACGATGAGCTCAAGGATAAACAGTTCGAATTGGAAATGAGTTGGGTTGGCGCGCACACTAACGGCAGGCATGAGCGTGTGCCGGCTGATCTAAAAAGTGAAGCCGAAACGAAGGCACGACAAGCAATGGCGGAAGATTCGGACAGTGATACCGAGGACATGTAAAACGATATATGTTTAAAATTCTTAAAATTCTTTGTATTATAAGCGATAATATTAAATATAAAATTAATACGCACGAATATATGCGTTGATCAATAATTATAAATGATCGAAGTAAGTAAAAGATGTACTATTCTATGCCTAGGTGCTCTACAAGTTCCTGAAGAGCCATAATTTCTTTTGATTTTGTTACAATTGCAATTTTTATGGGAAGGTGTCGTAAACCCCTTACTCAATCTCCACTCTGAAGAACGTTATTTTACAACTTTTTTAACATGTAATGACATTGTGTTTTCGGATTATATTCACTTCTTAATGATTCCTTACAATTACGTACTATATAATATTTTATTTACTCTATAATATCTTTATCTCTCCAATCATCCCTCTTACAAAACCAAGGCATTCATGGAGGGCGGGATAAGGGTCGAGGATCTGGGATCGGTCGACCATGAGTCGACTGTTATACAAAGCTGCGCATTATCCCGTTCTAAAGCTCTATTTATTGTTATTACCTGGAGATTTCTACCTTCCAAGGGACGACCGCAATTTGCTTATCTCCAGTTAACTTCGAGAAGTTATGTTTCAGGTATTCTATTTCAGCGGAATATTCCACAAAATTTGTAGTCAAATATATGCGACATAGTAAGTCCGAGATTTAAATCTTGCTTGACCAATGACTCCTCTAGCAGTCCGAGTCGTTTAGCATTTCTCCTAAATAAAGAATATTATTCTCAGTTTATGTTCCTCAGTTTTTTATACGAAACATGTTTCGTATAAAAAAATTATTCAACGCTCAGAAAATAATACATATATTATTTACAGTTTTTACTGCTATATTGTTTCAATTCAATTTCGGTTTCTATCTTTTTCCTTAATATTTTAGTTTAACGTTTCATTTAATTAAAATGGTTTAACGGTGAAGACAATTAATTGCAGGCTTTATGTCCGGTCACGATTTAAATTTTGTTTCACAAGATTACACGAATATACATCCGTGCGCGTCAGTGTCTAGCCGAATCGTTGCATTTCATCTTGCGATCGGACGCATGACTTGTCTTTCGGAGAACTTATTTTTGTCCTTCCATTATTTATGAAAATACATTTAAACTTTAAACCTAGCGTTTCTCTTTCTTTTCTTGCGTGTGCTTACAATAATTACTTAAAACTTTTATTCGTACTATAGTTTGACGCGTACAGTATTACATTATATATATGTATTAATAATTTGCTCGACAAGAAAAGATTCTAATAATACAATGCAATAAAATGAAAATTTATGAAATATTAAGTCGAAATATTTAGTTCTGCTCTCATTATTTTCGCCGTTGGACCTGTCTGTATCGTGTGTGATCGTCTATACATTTATCTCTCTAATTTTCGTTTTTCTATTGCCCAACAACTGAGCGGGTCCGCGGACCCGTTGATACATAAGTATATATTTCTCACGAATTTTCTCAACGCGAAATAATTTCGTTCATTATATATTGCAGCTACGAAATAGTGCGTGGTGATGCAATCGCCACAGTATTTTATCTAATATATGATATTTTCTCTATTAAGAAATCTTTAAAAATCTTTTAATATCTGCTGTTATTGCTACTTGAATGCACTTTCCTTTCTTTATTACAATAATAACATTATAAAAAAGATGATTGATTTAATAATACAAAATCTTAAATTCTTTGATCAGATGCAGAATGTTTGCAAAGAAATAAAAATGGTTTGACAAAATCATTTTTTCGAATCATATTTTTGCAACTGTTTCTTTAATTTTAAACGTAACTAAATGTAGCTATATGTATATGAATCGTTATGCGCTTATACTCTTCGATGAAAGATACGAGCTCGTTAACGAACACGTTGCGAAATTTTGCTACAAAAACCGATAACAAACATAAAGCACGAATTTGCCATATTTGTGAGATTTAGTGCAGCTGCTCTCATGTAGGATGTACTATGTACAATTTAGGCCGTGTTCCAATATACATTGCTAATACTGAAGATCTATATAGTTCACGTTACGTATAAAGATTTTCAGCATTTCACGGCAGTATATATCGAAAATGGCTATTATTGAGGAATTCGCAGAAACTGCAAAAACCTTCGTGATACACGATTATCGAGTGATCTCTTTTTAACCTTTAGAGAACGAGGTGATTTTCGTTCGACTTTTATAATTTTTATTTTATAATTTTGAGATATATGTGTGCCATAAGTGCCATAGTAATGATCTATGAAAAAGTTGAGATCGCTCCAGAATCGACCTATATATACCTATCGGGAAAATTTTAAATAAAATTTTCTTTCCATCTTTAAATTCTATTGTTGAAATATTTTATTAAAATAATTATTTTCACACATTTAAACGTTGTAAAAAAAAGTTTACTTAGCAGTTCGAAGCTCTTATACAATTAGGTTTCCAATGAAAAATTATATTTTCAGAATAAAACAACTATATTTGCACCGAAAAAGTGGTATAAAACTGAGAATGTTAGCATGCTATTCCGCATCGAAAGCATGTTGAAACAGATCACGCGAATCTGTGCGTAAAACAGTTTCTTTCTCTGCAACCTCGCCCTCCTTCCATTTCCTCGTTCACTTCCGAACATCTATCTTAACTAACAGCTTTCTCAGATAAAATAAAATAAGGAACATTGATTACGTTAAATTCACTTGAATTATTAAAAGTTAATAAATCGGCTTCCCGTTCTCTATAGAGATTAATATACGTATGTAGATAGTACTACGTTTTAGCCGTTGATAATTGGAACCACGAATGACGTATGCGCATTTTTTCCCACTTCTTCCTCCGGGGCTGCGTTCGGAAACCATTACCCGAGTGCCCTTCGGATAACAATTCGATTTTAAAAGGTTTTTTTCTGTAAAAAAAATCAAAATATCCTAGCAAACACCAAGTTACATATTTAACGTACTTGTTAGTTGTAATTCCCCACTCAACAATATACCTAACTATGATATAACATATGTGTGCTATATCAAAATTATACTTTTAAAATTACAAATTCAAATTTACAACTAACAAGTACGTTACATGTAACTTGGTAGATCGGAAGAGCACACG